CAGTCATCGACAGCCAAGCGCCCGGGGGCAGCCTGGACTTGGCGCCGGGAGGGCTGAGCCTGGAGGAGCACTCGCTGGAGCAGGTGCAGTCCATGGTGGTGGGCGAGGTGCTCAAGGACATCGAGACGGCCTGCAAGCTGCTCAACATCACGGCAGGTGAGCCCCTCCGCCGCCCAGCTCCGCAAGGTGGGGGCAGCCGGCTGAGGTCACGGGGAGCAGGGGGGGCACCCTGGCTGGGCCTCAGGCAGCCCCAGGAAGACTGGTGCTTCTCCACACGGGCATCCCGGCACACACAGCTGTGAGCCTGTGAGCGGAGGCTGGGGTGGTTGCGCCCCGTGCCCAGCTGCACCAGCCCGGAGTCCGCCCTGGTAGGTGCCGGATGCAGTGAATTTGAGCTCTACACCATCTGGCCCACCGCTTCCTCTCGGACTCATCTCCGCTCTCTCCTCAGCCACACCTGCCTCCTTGCTGTTCCCACAATACTCACCTCAGGACCTTTGCACCTGCTGGTAGTCCCTCAACCTTGAACACGCTGCCCCCAAATATCTACTTGGCTCATCCCTCACCTCCTTCACGTCTCAACTCAAATGGCCCCAACCTAACGAGGCCATGCCTGACCCCTCTGCTGCTCACATCCCGACCTCCATTCCTCCGCCTGCTTGTTCTCTCTCACGGCACATAAAATCTTCTATGCTGCCTGTCTTATTTCTTTCTCTTGTTCACTATCTTTCTCCCCCACTGGCATGTACACACCCAGGGGACATGATTTCATTTGTTGTGTTCACTGCCACGTCCCAGGTCCTAGGATGGCACCTTGTACATAATAGATGCTCAGGAAACAACAACTTAATAGGCCCTGCTCTAGCACCGGGGAATTGAGTGGTGAGCACAACACAAATGCTTCTTCATTTATGAAGCTGACATTATAGTGAGGGAAACGTCGTAGATAAATACGTGAGTGTCCCTGGTCCCGTGGTGACGAGGGCTCTGATGAGGAGGGAACATCAGGAGGCCTGGCGTGAGAGGGTCTGCCAGGGCCTGGCGTGAGAGGGTCTGCCAGGGCCTGGAGGGTGAGGCCCTGGAGCTGACGCTGTGGGGGAGGGGCTGCGGCTCTCCAGCCCTGTCCCTCCCGCATCCTTGCAGCTCTGGCAGGCCTGCCCATCTCCTCGGTCCTTGGCCCTGGCATATGAGCATCCCATTTGGTGCTGCTTTCCCACAAGGGCAGCCAGGCATCCCTCAGGCCAGCCCCTCCTCCTAGCAGTCCTCTGGGCCATGCCCCGACCCCCAACTGGTACCCCTTAAGGTAGCGCCTGCCAATGCCCAGCTCTCCATTTGCCCAACGCCCAGGCCAGCCTCCCAGGGAGGTCTCCCACGGTGCCTTCGCTCCCACACGGGGCTGCGGAGGGAGGGGCCTGCCCTCGGAACAATGGGGACAGGAACAAATTGCTTTGACCCTGAGAGGAAAACGGGCTTATCAAGTGGGGGCGGCCCAGCCTCTGGTCACCCAGCTGGGGCACCAGCTGAGACCACAGTGTTCACTTGGAACCCCACCGTGACCGTGCTCACCGGCCTGGCCTCCGCCCATGTGCCCTGCCAGGCTCACCCCACAGCAGCCATGACGCCCTCCCACCGTTGAGTCCTGTAGCTGCCCCTGGCCACCCTGTCCCTTGCCACTGATTCATTCATTCATTCATTCATTCATTCATTCAATGCATGTGCACTGAGCAGCTACTATGCACCCGGCCCCTTGTTAGGTGTTGGAAAAGGAGATGGAACTCTCTGTGCCTTAGCTTCCTCATCTGTAAAATATGGCAGGGGTTGGAGGTTGGGGTTATAAGATTAATTTCTGGGTGGATTTTTCTCTGGTTCCTTGAGGGGTTTGGGGAAGGAGCGAACATGTTCCAGGGCTGTAGCTCCCCAAAGGCCCTTTGGAGGGGCTGGGTGTCTGGGAGAACCCAAGGTCTGGATGAAGTAGGAGGTACAGAGGTCCCTCCCTCTCACCCCACTCTCTTCCTGGGGACCCCCTCAGCAGGGCTCCTCAAGAGGGCCTAGCCTGTCTTGCCCCCCGACCCCGGAGTTCATGGTCCTGGGCCACAAGCTCCCAGTTCCCCAGGCGCACTGGGGGCCACATTCCGGTAGTGCCCTCAGCGGCCCTGGGCTGAGGGAGTGTCTCTTGCCCAGACCCCGTGGACTGGAGTCCAGGCAACGTGCAGAAGTGGCTGCTATGGACGGAGCACCAGTACCGGCTGCCCCCCGTGGGCAAGGCCTTCCAGGAGCTGGGGGGCAAGGAGCTGTGTGCCATGTCAGAGGAGCAGTTCCGCCAGCGCTCGCCCCTGGGCGGGGAGGTGCTGCACGCCCACCTGGACATCTGGAAATCAGGTGGGACATGGTGTGGGCAGAGGCAGCCCCTCCGGGCTCCAAGCCAGGGACCCCAATGGGACTCTCAGGCCAGGATGCCTGCTGGGAGGCTGCTCTCGCCGGGCTCTGCTCTGAATCCAGCCCCAAGTGCCCTGCCTCCTCGGAGCCCCACACCTCCCGGCCCTGGCCGAGCCCAGAGACTTGGACAGAGCACGCAGGAAGTTAGAGGTAGAAGTTAGACTGAGAGGACGCAAGACATCATAGCCGATGGACAGTGGGTGCTATGATGTCCTTTAAAAAAAAAGTGTTTTTACTGATTTCAGAGAGGAAGGGAGAGGGAAAGAGGGAGACAGAATCATCACTAATGAGAGAGAATGATTGACCAGCTGCCTCCTGCACGCCCTGCACTGGGACTGAGCCCACAGCCGGAGCGTGTACCCTGATTTGGGAGTCGAACCGTGACCTCCCGGTGCATAGGTCGATGCTCAACCACTGAGCCATGCCGGCCGGGCCTTCCCTGCCCTTTTAAAATTTTATTCGTTTGTTTGTTGCTGTTTTTCATTGAAGAAGTAATGAGGGAATAATTGTATACACTTTTTTAAAGACCATAGGAATAGTATATCGTAAAAGGTAATTCCCCTCCCACTCCTGAGCCCGGCTTCCCGATCCCCCTCCCTGGAGGCACCCACTGTTCCCAGTTTCTTGGGTATCTGGGCAGGGAAAATCTATGCAGATACAAGCCAATACTTACCCTTTTAGACATGAACAGTCTCAGCGTATACACTGTTCTGTACTTGACAATGTACCTGCAGCTTGTTCCCATCGGGATCCATTTGGCTGCCCTATTCTTTCTCAAGGCTGCATGCCAACCCCATCTCCTCTCACGGGGCACCCACGCTGTGCCCTGCACAGAGCCCACCGCGTTGGAGGCAGCGCTTGCTCCGTAGGTCAAGGCCGGACCTGAGGGGCCGGATGAATAAGGGAAGGACCTACTCATATAACCGGCAGAGCCCAGTGTCCTGCCCGCCCCGGCTGCTTGCCAGTGACTGCCAAGGGCAGTGGTCAGTGCCAGGCTGCGTGCCAGTGGTGATGTGGTGGAAACTGGCTGCCCTCACTCCCCCACTGCCTGGTCTGAGGTGGGGGGACGGGTGCGGGAAGTGGGGGGCAGAGAGCAGGAGGGTGGAAGTGCCGGGGGACCTCGCACCTGGAAGGTAGGGGTGCTGATTATGCTGGACACTGAGCAAGGCGCTGTGCAGACTTCATCACCTACGATCCTTGAGAGATCCAGGAGGGGGTGTCCCGACCCCATTTCACAGATGCGCCAGGCTCCACTGCCGCTCTCCTGCCCCTGGGCCTCTTTAGGCCCCTCCCAGCTCCGAAACCCCAACTCCCTTCCCCGAAGCAGCTCCAGACTGCAGGGGGGAGGGGACCACCGGGACACCTGGGCCTCTGGGCCCACAGTCCCACCAAATGCCCCTGCGCCCCCCCCCCCGCCCCGAGCCCTCTCCTGGGCCCCAGCCTCCTCTCCTTGTCCTGCAGCGGCCTGGATGAAAGAGAGGACCTCCGCCGGGGCTGTCCACTTCTGTGGTGAGCAGGGCCGGGCAGGGAGGGCCGGGCTCTGTGGTCTGAGGTTGAGGGGTGGCCGCCAGGGAAGCAGGGGTGGCCGCAGGTCCCCACTCACCACCACCCTCCCTGGCCGCCCAGCCTCGACCAGCGAGGAGAGCTGGACGGACAGCGAAGTGGACTCGTCCTGCTCGGGGCAGCCCATCCACCTGTGGCAGTTCCTCAAGGAGCTGCTGCTGAAGCCCCACAGCTACGGCCGCTTCATCCGGTGGCTCAACAAGGAGAAGGGTGAGCAGGGCTGGCGCAGCGAGGGCGCTGAGGGTGCTGAGGGCGCTGAGGGCGGGGGGCT